TACGTTACGTTACGTTACGTTAGTTACGTTACGTTTACGGTTACGTACGTACGTACGTAGTAGTAGTAGAGTAGTATATACTACTACTACACACACTACTACACACACACACACACACACACACACACACATATATATATATATATATATATATATATATATATATATATATATATATATATATAAGGCGGAGGCTTCGTTGAGTGCACAGGCTAATTTGCATTTTTCCACGAGGATTGCAGAAGTTCTGATAGAAAAATATATAGATCACGTACGTAAATTGAGATAGCATATACTGTAGATTGTGCATGGTACTGTAGATTGTGCATGGTTCAGAACGTGGGTATATAGATAATACTCGTAGAGTATACTCATCTAGACAAATAAAGCGTACATGAGTGGGAGATTAAGGGTGTTCGATGAAACGCTCAATAGTGTTATACACACATATCATTCATATTTCAAACACGTGCATTTGTCATGCTCTATGCATTTTAGACGGTTCATCTGAACAGCAAATGTCGTCATGTATGTTATAATCTGTACCGTAAACGCACGGAAGAACAGTATCTCTTACCAGCCTCTTGACAGCATCGTACAGGTACTCCAGCACACCATTCATGTCACCGTCGTTAAGATATGTTGCATATTCATCGCAATCAACAGACACCAGGTTCATATGAGGATTCCGAATCATAGTACGCCCTCTGGGCAGCAGACTCGAGGCCAGTTCATTTATGGTGCGGTAGTAGTCTACCCCAGACACATATGAAATACCAGTGAGTATACCCAGGCGAGGATTGTTTGAAGACATTGTGCTTAACAGCAGTGACGGCCTGACGGGGTAGAGTGATTATGAATTATTCGAAACTATTCAACATTTTAAAATCCAACACTCTTATCTATTCATCAGACATACATGTGCGTATTTTCTATTTTTGGTCATATTTCGTATTGCTATAGTGATCTGATTGTGTGTGGGCATTTTGGGGGCATTTATTTTGAAAAGGGGGGGGTGTTATTTTTTGTTGGGAATTAGTGTCGTATTTTTAGACACCTCGTAAACGACAGTATACGGCAGATACGAATTACAGGACATTCAATATGCACAGCCACTGAGCTCTTTAAATCCCTCGTTGGCTGCACTATTCTGCTAATGTTTTCCTTAGGCAAGTCTCAACGCTCAATACTAATAAGCCGAGGAGATGCGGGAGTTTACAACGGTATCGATTTCTTATCTAGTATTGTGCCAGGCAAAACGTATTCGATGCCCACCTTTCTGAGTGGGGTTGGAGGAAAGGTTGCCAAGGTATAGATTGCTCTCACGCAGGTAATGAGAAGGATCGAGTCCATGCTTCTGCACCGTAGGAAACACTTGAATATGTATTGTCCATAGCATTAGAGGGGTTATTTGTAGCTAAAAAGTTGCACTGAGATTTTCTCATCAGAAAATTATTTCTGTATTTAGTGTGGACAAGCTCTACGCCGACACCTACGGTAGGATGGCGACTATGTTGTACGACTGCAATTTTATATTATATTTATTAACTTAAATTTTCGCGCCTGCAGTTTGGCCTGATGATAGTTGGCTATGGAGTTAGGATACCTCCATACGCTCTTTCTCACTATTAGTACGTTCTCTATCAAGCGCTCTATACGACGCACGGCAATGGCGACCAGTCTCGACCTCTAGACCTCTAAATGTCACAGGCACTTAGGGCAACTCCACGCCGGTCTTCTCGTACACCTCAGTCCGTATATCCTTATAGCACTTGTGACAGTAGGGTGCTCCGTCATGCTCGTACATACCCTCCGCGCAATCTGGCGATGCTTTGCACCGGTGGCACACAAAACACTCCACGTGCCAAGACGAGCCCATGGCATCGATGAAATCGGAGTCCTGTGATGTACGAGAGTTCAATAAAACAACGTATGCACGTAGATAAGAAGATGGAACAGTACACAGTTCGAACCAAGAGGGACGGATCGATAGAACCAATAAGTCTGTGATCGGCTGCTGGTTCTAAGTAGGAGAACGTACCTGTACAGGCGTATTGCATTTCTCGCACTTGTCCGCGATGATATTGTAGAAGTCTGCAAGGCAGTATATGTTGTCGTATTTCTGGATGAAGCTCTGGTTCACCAGGCTCAGTTTGCAGTGGAAGCATACAAAATGCTCCACATGGTAGGCAAACTCGCCCCCCTTGACTGTGGTCTCGCTCGGCAGTATGGGAGTGTCGCACACTTTACAGACATCCCCGAACTTCTTCGCATAGTCACTCACACAGTACACGTGGCCGTCATCGCCCATGATGAAGGGCAAATCTGACAGATGCGACTTGCACTCTCGGCACCGGAAGTGATCTCTTTGTATGATAAAAGCATTGCGTTACGAGATAGCATGAGCGAAATATTGTATAAAAACCGAGTAGATATATATATGTAGACACACACAGACACAG